ACCACTATCATCGTCACTCTAAACCTAATGACTGTTGAGCATTTAGTAGGCGCCAATGCTCTTTTAATGCATTGCCTTTATCAGAGACTGTAATTCTAGTCTCAACTTTATGAGAAAGATACATCCATGTCCATATTCTGTAAGAAAGGAAGATCACACCGCTCGGAAGCAGGACAAGGAGCTATGATTTTAAGCAATGCTCCGAGCCTTAGTAGGCAGTGAGCACTGTTCTTTCTGTTCTGTATGTAGCAGATGCCAAAGACTTCTTCCTTTTTACAAGGAAGTCATCTGGTAAGACGTAATAGCCTGGTTTGGCCATGTTCCCTGATTATTCCCATATCTACTACCACTCTGTCCACATTCATCATTTTTCTAATAAGTTTTGTATTGTTTGTCGAACATTGGTATGACTGGATGACTGGGGCTTGTTAGCTCAGAACCTGTTCCTGGGCCTTGGGGATAGAGATGGTGACGGGTTAGACATTCATTCTTAGAGCTCTTTACCTTCCATCTCTTTGTTCAAGTTTAAGGTGAGATGCAACCTTTTATTTTATTTTTTAATTAAAATATAATTACATAATTTCTCCCCTCAAATCTCTTCCATGTACCTCCTTGCTCCCTCTCTCGGGCCTCTCTCTCTCTCTCTCTCTCTCTCTCTCTCTCTCTCTCTCTGTGTGTGTGTGTGTGTACAAATAAACATACAAGCATAAATATAAATGACCTGCTGAGTTATTTCAGTGTCCCTTGTGTGTATTTGATCCCTGACTGACTACTTGGTTATCCTAGGATAATCAATTAAGGAGCTTATCCCTGGGGAAGACTAATTCTCCTGTTGCAGCATTCCTTAGTTGCCTGTAGTTCTTTGTATAGAGGCAGGGCCCTGTGAGAGTTCCCACTTGCACTTAGTGTATCTGTTGCTGTTGCCTTGTTCGGGTCTTGTTTAGGCAGTCAAATTGTTGTAATATCATGGGTGAAGTTTTCATGTTATTTCTAAGAGACACAGTCTCACAAAACCACAGTTTCCTGGTCCTCCAGCTTTTGTAATCTTTCCATCCCCTTTTCTAAGATGCACACTGAGCTTTTGATACAGGACTTACATTGTAGATGTATCCACTGGGGCTGGGCACTCCATGATCAATTGTTCTCTACACTTTGAACAGTTGTGCTTGTCTATAATAGTCTCTGTTGAAAAGAGAAACCTTTTTGAGGAGGAATGAGAGCTACACTCATCTGTGGGCATGAGGACAAGGATTCAGAATGCATGCTGGGTTAGTAAAGCAGCAGTAGTAGGTTCTCTTCTTACAACCATGACCTCACTAGCATCAAGTAGTTGACTAGGCTTCTAGTACCAGGCATGATTTCCCTCCTCTTGAGTAATCCTTAAGTCTATTAGATAGCTGTCGATTACTGCTAAAATATGAGTGCCACTATTGCACACTTGAGGCTGTTTTGCTATGCTGGTCACTGTTAGTCCATGGGCATCACAGCAAGGTAAGACTGTTGGTTGCTTTCCTCCCATGGCAGCTTGCATAACACGAGGTGCAATCTTTTAAGAACATATACTGCCTTTCTCCATATACAGCCATCGATTAACACAGGAAGAACATATGTAGGGCACATTGGAGAAGCTCTGTGCATATTTATTGTATAAATCTACATTCCTCTCCAATGAATCACTGAGGGAAGGGCCACAGTATGTACACTACCAACAACCAGATATTGGCCAGATATGATAACTAAAGAGAGGTAGGAGCTGGTACCAACCTGTAAAAACAGTTTGCTCTGTGTGTCAGTAGAGAAATCCTACCCACGTGATTCCTTGTGGGAAACTCAGTACTACCAGTCTGTCCAGGTGTTCGGGGAATGCTGCAGCTTCACATGTACATACGAACTTCACTGATCTTGAAACACTGCTTGATGAAACCAATATGATAACTGAATCTGACTCACAGCCATCACTTTGTGACCTCCCTATATTAGATACTTATTGGCACTTCTCTATTGCATTGTAACTATCCTGAAGGTGTGGTAAAGGAGAGAATGAACAGGTGAAGATGGTACTGTGAAATAATGAGAGAAAGAACATCAAGAAAGTTATGGGTGTGGGGGGTGTATTTCAGGGATTCCACCAAGATCAAGGAACTAGAAATAAGAAGTCTACTAGATTCGAGCATAATATATTGTACCACACTTCACCTGTAGGTTAAGTGTTCTTTAGAAAACAATTCTTGGTCAAATAACATGAGAAACACCCAAACATCCAGTTAAGCAAAATGAAATAAATGTCTTTACATCAGCTGTAGTTGTCTTTAATATTCTGTTGGGCAGTGTAAATTTCCAGAAGGGGAAGCTATTTATTGTGTTCAAGTTTCTTGATCATGAAGTCTCTATGTTATATCATTCTTTCTAGATCTAAAGTTTTGAGAAAAACACATTGGAAAATCTAGAGAAAGGACTAAATGGGCCATTAGGAATCTATGAAGGCATTATAATAGGTAGAGTTCATAATGCAATGACATGAGTACCGCAAGCCTGTAGGGCAGCTTGGCAAGAAAAGGGAGAAGGCATCCTATTAGTAACTGGGAACTGTCTGTTCATCTTTTTAAACAAAACATTTTTAGCCTCATTCCTCTTTTAAGAACAAACAAATACCAAGTGTCAAGGGTTGCTACCTCTAAGATTGAAACCCTTTGCCATAACACTTAAGGCTCTCCTTTATCAGGCTGTCTGACCTTCCTCGATGCACAGTTAACATCCTCCACTCTCTGCCCTACACATCCTGCTCTATTTGCTGTTGACAGGATGGAGTCTGTATTTTCCAGCCTCATCACTTGGATTCTCTCTTGAATTACCTTCCCCACTCATTGCAGTTAGAGTCATAACTGATTTTCAAGGCTCAGGCCAGGTACTGCTTTGCCTATGGAACCTTCCTTAGTTCTCACAAGAGATTCCTGTCCTTGAACTTCTGCACAATTTACTCTTGAAGAGCTTGAGTGGGACTCAATGTGGCTTGTATTGCCTGTTTGGTTTGGAATGTAAGGCAGAGTGACAATGGAGATTGTCTTCCTTCTTTAATAACATCAACGACCGGGGAAAGACAGACATTGAGAAGAAAGACATACCCTGAGCCCTGTGTTTGCCCAGATAGGGTTAGGATGACATTGTCCAGTCACACATAAAGCTCAGTAATAACTACATCATGCTGAATAACGTAGACCCTACTGTCTAGTTAACAGCCTCCCATCATTCCTTGAGGAGGAGTGTATTTTCTCCTGGAGGCTTGCCCAATAGTAATACACACTGTTTCTTAACACTAAGTCAGATATGCTGCATGAGTTTCCTTTGTGAGTTCCACAATGTCTCTCAGGAGCGGTATTATTGCCCCCACTAATATTGACCTCAAAACCTTTAAGTCATTTACTCATGTTCACAACAAGTTCTCTGGCCCTGCAAGGAGAAACCAGGTGTTTCTCCCCCATACCTTACCTCAGAGTCTGGATGTAAACACAACACACCATTCATTTGGACACACTGCTCTCCAGAAGTTTAATGACAGAAAATAAAGTTAAGAATTCTCACTGTGACTCCAATAGATGAGAGTGTATCAGCATTCAAAGAAAAGCAGAGAGTTTGGATGCTGGGGTGGGGTGGGGGAGGTTGGGCTTAGTGTAGGGTTTTATAAAGGACCCAATACAGGGGTCTTTAAAAGGCCATGGTTAAGGTAAGTTTCAGAGTGCACAGCACCATGAGGGCACATCCGTTGGCACTCTGGCACAAGCTCATTGCAGGTCTGTGATCTCTGTATGATGAGAAACTGGTTTGCCCAGACCTGACACAGTGGTTGTGAATAAACCAAAGCAAGCTGTTCAAAGTGTCGTGATGAATTCATTGTCAAGTAGTATCTTTCCCTTCCTCCTTTAGCAAGCTACAAATGTCCCTCTGTGTAACACTTCTTCCATGTAGTTCACATGCTATCAGGAAGACTATGAAGAGCCTCTGAACACTCCACACAACCCAACACCTCCCTGTAGTATCCTTCAGTTCTTTTTTAGCTAGGACTCTTCTTCAACACAATGTGGAAATAATACCATACAAGCAATAAGCTTTACCCTTTGTGTTTGCCCATGTTTTCTGACACAGTGAATCACATAGAGCAGGGTCTATCTATGTCCATGCATGTTGAATGGCTACATTAGAATGGGCAGAAGATATGGCTGAGATCCTGCTCTAATTAGATCATACATGGTGAATACAAGTAATTGAAGAAAGACTCAATAAAATGACAACAGGGACTGGGCAGGGACTAACTGTGGAGATGAAAGAAGTGTCAGGAAAAAGAGGGGCCTCACTCCCTCTGGGGAGCAGATAGGAGGTTGGATAGGGGTTGGTGGGAGGAGTGGGAGGATGGGAGGGAGAGAGAACTGGGATTGGTGTATAAAATAAGATTGTTTCTAATTTAAATAAAAATTAATAAAGAAAGAAAACAAAAGCATCAAAGAGTTCAATGCTACCTGCAAGATGGGAAGAATCTGCCCATGAGGGAAACCCTTCCTCATGATCCTTTCATCCTCAATTCACTTTCTTCATGGACCAAGAATTCCCTCTGAATGTCAAATTGAAGCAAGGATGGAGGCAGGCAGACACGATCAGTCATACATGAGAGTACAAAAGGATGAGGTTTGCCTTTGTCGCTCTACAGAAGAGCATTGTGGAGGAGGAGAAATTTGAGCTGAATGTATTTTTGGTTGGTGCAACTTTAAGTGCTCTGTTTGATAGCAGAGTTGTTTGAATGGCCTATTTCATAACTACACAGAGCTTCTCCAAATAAATGGTGTCTGCAGAATGTTCAGGTTAATGCATGAGTGCAGAGCTCAAAGGTGTTTGTGCTGAGGCCGACCAAGCCTTCTTTCTTCCTAAGTCATCTTGGCATTTTGTCAACAAGTTAATTTGCTTTTCTAAGAAACTAGATTAATACTTCCTGTGCTTTGTGCTATTCACAGATCTACAGTGCAGTGAGAAGAGGAGAAGAAACAGAAGATACGATTGGATCTCTTCTCCATTGCTCCAGACAGCTCCCAACCTCCGAGACAGCCTGCGGAAGGATTAGAGACGGTCCATGCTTAAAGCAATGTGTACGAGACACCGAATGTGAGTACCGGGCCACCCTCCAAAGGACATCCATTGCGCAGTACATCACTGGCTCTCTCCTGGAGGCAACCACCTCCTTAGGAGCAAGAAGCAGCCTTCTCAGTAACTTCGGAGGATCCACTGGACGAATAATGCTGAAAGGTAGTGTCTGGGATTTCATTTTTAATTCTTCATATTTGCCTGTAGAGAATACAATAACCATCCAATATAGAGCTGCTAATGGAAAATTGAGTCCATATGTCAGAAATGCTAAGAAAATAGAGTAAAAGTAGCTGTTTTGAGTAAACAGAAAAGTTAAATCCCTTAAGACTTAAACAGATAGCAAGTATTAATTTTTAAAGTTCAGTTTTTCAAACATATTAAATGGCTAAAATTCTGTCTTTATTTTTAGTTTGTTTATTTATTTTGAGTGTGGGGTGGATGGGTAAGTTCACATGTGTCACAGTTGCTTGTCTGGAGGTCAGGGGACAACTTGCAGGATATTGACTCTCTCCCTCCATCATATGGGTTCCAGAGAGTGAATTCAGGTTTTCAGGCTTGGTGGCAAGCACCTTTACCCACGGAGCCATCTCACTGGTCTTTTAAATCTTAAAAATATTATGCAGTTGGGTAGTTTCTCCGAGTACTAATCCATGCAAGATGTCAATAGTAAGTAAATATGATCGTATTTGAAAATCAGTCATGCCTGAGAACAGAATGAAACCTAAATATTCTTATCCCTAACAAATAGAACCAATAAGTTTCTTCTGGAAAGAGAAGAAAGGAACCATGTTCCAATGTGTCTCATTGCAAAGGCCAAGAAAGGCAGGTATAGCACGGTGAAATGGGAGCCAGTAGAAAATTAGGTTCCGAGCATCCAAACTTCCCTGTGTCTTCCCATGACATACAGATGGGAGGGTCACAAGTGGCAGCCACTAGACAGCCTCAGAGACTTGCTCACTACACAGCTGTCACAAATTGCTTGGCAGCCTTCCCTGGCAGGAAGCTACCATCCAGCCAGGGACCATGCAAGGTTGTGTTCCACTGCCGGGGGGCTGCCAACAGCCCCATCTGACATCCGGCTGCTCTGTCACAGAGAGTAGACATTGTCCCTCTACAATGAGCCCTCAGACCAAGGCTATCTGGCCAGTGACCTTGCTCCCTGCTCTTCAGCCTCCCCTTTTCACCCTCCACTCACCCTTGCCATGCCTAAGAGGAGCGCTACGACCACCTGGTATTGCATATTAAGTGCCATGTCGGATGATTTTGTGCTATCGCCTCACCTTCTGGGTATTGGCTTCAAATGAGGAGTAGAAGGAAAACGTATAGTGTGGGAGTGCTACTCTGAAAGAGTAATATGGAGGAAGTTGGTGCTAGGTATAAATGCTGGCAAGGGGGTAAAGCATCATCCCCACCCTCATGGAAATTGTACTATGAAGTAAGGAATCCCCCACCACCACAGGATTGAAGGTTTCTCTGCGCTGATGTGACCCCCCCCCAGGCACTATCAGGACATTTGCCATGCTTTTCCCAAGACGTTGAGCTGAGATTAGCACGTAGGATCGTCATAGTTTCAGTGCATGTGACTACATGGCAGGGCCTCATCAAAGTTCACCAACCCACACTCTCCATATACCCATGCTGTACCCCATAGAGTGAAGATGGTATGGACGATCCCACTGAAGTGTTGCCTGTCAGTTTGTATAATTACAAAGAGGCAAGATCTGTATGTATGAAATAATTAAAGAATAACATGTAATTGCAGCAAGTTAAGTATCATGTAAGGAATGTAAAAGACCCAGTATGTTCAAAGGGTAGAGACTGAGTTATATCTGGTAAATAATTCAGCCTGAAATAAAAACAAAGTCAATAAAGCTGCTTTCTTTCTTCTTCCAGAATATCTAGGATTCCAACTAAGGCAGGGGTGCTAACAGTATTCCAGAGACCTGTGAAAGTAAGACCACTGGTCAGTGCACCTGCTGCCCTGATAGTAACTTGATTTTGATTGCTGCTGTATTTCCTTGTTCAGAACAGCACCTCATGCATCATTTCCCTCTGGAGCTACCCCAGACCCTCCGCTAATGTGAGAGCTTTCAGCTGGTGTCTTAAACAAGAGCTGGGGGTTGATTTTCTGTTTTGTAGCTTCTTAATGTTTTCTAATAGCTGTCAAATGAGTTCCTGCTAAGTAATAACATTAGCTGTTGATTTTTGCTCTGGGCTTGTTTCTGTGGTTTCTAGTATGCTGCCTTAGAGGTGGATTTCAACTGCAGTGCTTTCTTCCACCAGGTTTGCAGAGTTTCAGAGTGCTTTAGTTAAATATATGTTTCTTCATACAGAGGGAAAACAAGGCATCAAAAAAGGGGGTCTCTTCTCTCTGTCTCTGTCTCTCTGTCTCTCTCTCTCTCTCTCACTCACACACACACATACACACACACACACACACACACACACACAATGCAAGGTAAAACCATGTTAACTAACTCAAACAGTGTGCATATATTTCAAAACACAATATTGTAAATAGCAAATGCATGTGATTTTTGTTCATTTAGATTTCCAAAGGAAGGCCAGCTTGGTCTACATAGCGAGTTCCAGGCCAGTCCTGGCTATATAGTGAGACCCTGTCTCAAAAAATTACATTTAGTTTAATTTAAAAATAACATTTAAAGAATAAAGCACAAACACATGAGACTTCAAGGCACAGGGTATTGTCAGAATCTGTAATATCCTCATGTTGAAAAGTGGGTCTTGAACTACCAGAGCATCTGGAGGAAGTGTCTGCATGCTATGCTTCAGCTGGTCACTTCTTTTATTGTGCAGTGTGTGTCCCTGGTGTAGATTTGATCAGCAGCTTTCAGCTCTGAATTGCTCATGGAAAGTTACTCATAAGGATCCAGGCATGATGGCACTTAGGAGGCTGATGCAGAAGGATAATTAGTTTGCGATTGGCCTCAGCTCCATATAAGACCCTGTCTAAAAGAAAACCAAGACAGAGAAGAAAGTTAGAAAGCATGTATGACACATATTCTGTTTCCAGCTTCTAGAAGCTGATTTCTCAGAAGCTATGTGGACCTTTAGACACTTTCTGGGAGAAGCGGTGCTAGGTGTGGTTTGATTCCTAAACTTTAGTTTTCAAAACCCCTTCAACTTACATACGCTGAAAATCTAATTCTTTCTAACTTGGGATGCTGAAAGTTGGTCTTTATGGGAAACGTTAAAAGTGGGTTAAATGGCATTTCCTGTCAAGAAGAAGTTATTTTCATTGGAGATGAGTAAAGAGTTAAGACTTTTACTGGACTTGGGTAAGAACATTCAGTCAGTTCTGAGATGTTAGTTGGTGGCAACTCTCATTCTTGACTATAGCTGAATGCACTTCGATGCTCATACCTGGATGGAAGAACCAGAAAATTACCTCTAGTTACTTAAAAATAAAAAAAAATGGAGCATAATGGGGGAGACGGAAAAACACAAGATCTCTTCCCTAGAGAGAAAAGGGAAGGAACAGGGTCAAAGGGTGACCTCTCCAAGGGAGAACTAGTGTTTGAAGTCTGTGAAAATGAACTGGAGGAGGTAGAGACAAAGAAGGAGACAGAAAATCCCAGGTGTACAGGGCACATAGTCTCGGCAGTGGAGACAGAAAATGGAATGATGATCATAGAAGCTGAGGCAGTGGGAAATGTGGACTTAGTGGGCACAGTTTCTGTTTCGCCAAGAGAATGGGTAGTGACAAGGCTGTGTGAATGTACTTAACACCTGTGAACTCCACTCAAAATGTTAAAGAGGAATGTCTAATCTTGTGCATGTCTTATGACAATTGAGAGAAACTGAGGTGGGTGTGGGCAAGGCTTCTCCTATGCTGGTCTTTCTTCCTAGGTCTACATGAGTTTACAAAGAACGGAGGAATTTCTCCTGAAAGCAGCTTTGATTACAAATGCAAGGAAGCATGGGGGAGAGGGTTGCAGCAGTTTATATCATGCCCAAGTCAAGGTGCTCACACAGAGCTCTGCAGCCTTGTAGCTTTGCCATAGCTTATAGCATGGAATGGAGGCGGCTAACAACCAGAGAATGATGAAAGCTGGCTCTTTTTGCTTTGCTTTTTTGTTTCCTTTTGTCCTTCAGATCTATTAAGTTGAAAGTTTGCAAAATTCAGAGATATTGAAAATGTGTTTGCTTGTGCATGCACATGTGTGTCTATGCATGAGCCAATACATATATGTGTGCAGGTGTGTTTGTCTGTGTATATGTGCAGAGGCCAAACGAAGCTTTCAGGTGTCCTATCACACTCCACTGATTTCATTGAGGCAGAGTCATTCCTTGAACCTGGGTCTTTCATGGTTTTGGCTAGGCTGGAAGCCTGTAAGTCCCAGCAGCATTCCTGTCTCCAGACTCCATCAGTGCCTGGGTGACAGGTGTGTTCTTGATGTCCAGATCACAGTGTGATAGCTGGTTTTAATGTCACCTTGCTACATGCTTGGTCCTGAGGGAAAAGGAAACCTCGACTGAGGAATTGTGTCCATCAGACTGATCTGTGGGCATTTTCTTGATTGTTAATTGATGTGGGAGGGCTCAGCCCACTGTGGAGAGTGTCATCCCTGGGAAAGGTGGTCCTGGATTGTATAAGAAAGCAAGCTGAGCAAGACATGGAGAGCAAACCAGTAAGCAGCACCCCTTGTGGTCTCTGCATTAGTTCCTGACTCTGGTTCCTCTCTTGGCTTTCCTCAATAATAAACTGTGATAGTGTAAGTGAAGTAAACCCTTCCCCCTGCAGGAGTTTACCACGGTAACAGAAAGCAAACTGGTTTCGGGGGTAATTGCTCTTAATATTCTCTCTCTCTCTCTCTCTCTCTCTCTCTCTCTCTCTCTCTCTCTCTCTCTCTCTCTCTCTCTCTCTCTCCTTCTCTCTCTCTCCTTCAAGAGATGTGTTCTGATATAAAGCACTGATCAGCTGGGATATCCCTTAATTGCAAGGGTGCACTATCTCTAGATGGGCAAGTGGATAGTATGAGCATCTGTTTGACACAGTTAATCTCTCTCACTCCTTGTCCTTGTTGTCATCCCCTCCCCCCACTAGCCTCATTGGAATTTCAGGGTTGACACTGTGGAAATGGCAAACAGAAGAACCATTAGCTTTAATAGACTCACAAAGCAGCCAAGTGTGGTGG